TATGAAAATGGTATATAAATATTGCGCCACTAGAAATTTAAAAATAATAGGTAAATTACGCCAATGAAAACTTGAAATCGAGATTAATTGATATAATAACTTAATAGATGAATGTGATAAATAAATGTAATTAAATATATATTTAATGAGATAGGAATAAATATTAACAAATATAAATTAATATTTTTGAAAAATATATCCGGCATCTGCATTTTTTGGATTGGGGGGTATGGGTATGTGGGGGGTGGGGGAAGGTTGCCCCCTTGCCTCCTTCCCCCGCTGCGTACACGCCTGGTCTCAATTAAATGTTTCCATTGGAATATGAATAATTTAAATCATAGAGTATAGGTATTTTTTGGCCTAAAAAAGAAAATAAAGAGATGAATAGAAAAAATGATAAAAAGTAGAAAATGAAAAAATGGAAAAGAAAAAAAAGGAAAATGAAAGAATTGAAAACGAGTAATTAGAAAATAAAAAAAAAAGAGAACGAGATTAAAATTGAAATGTGAAAAAATATGACTTAGAAAATTAAGAAGAAAATGCAAAAATTGTATGTACGAAGAATTGGTAAAAAAAAGAAAAGGAAATTGAAAAATCTAACGAGAAATGAGGGAAGAGTAGGAATGTGAAAAAATGAGATAGAAGAAAGGGAGAAAATTGAGTTAAAAAGAATGGGAAATGTAATGTTTAGATTGGAAATGGAGGAAATGAAAATAAAAGTGAAAGTTGGAAGGGTATGTGAAAAATGCAAAAAGGGAATTAGAAGAAAACTATGGTAATAATAAATGGGGAAATGGGTATAGAGTCGAAAATTGAAGGAATCAGCCAAATAGTATGAGGCAAAATGGATCATGTCATACTTTTGGAAAATATGATTATAAGCAGAGAATGTAATGAAAAAATAAACAAGAGAATATTATCGAAGGTATGTAAAAGGTGTGGGAATAAAGGGCATAGTTGGGACTAGAGGTCTGCATTGGGTGAGGTTTCAGCCCGCCCAAGTGGGCGGGCAAAAATTTAAAAAAACGGGCGGGCGGGTTAAAAAATTTTAAACTATGGGCGGGTGAGGTGGGCCCGCAGGTTAAGAAATTTAAGTAATAAGCGGGTGGGCTAAAATATTAATTAAAAATGGTTTTATGAACTTTTTGGATATTAAAATGTCCTTTTTTTTTGTATATTTAAAATTACTTTGGTCTTGGTGGAAACAATAAGAAAGAGATTTGCCAAAGCTATCAAGATTACCAAGAAAAATATTGACAATTCTTGCAACTAGTGCTTTTTCTGAATGAGAATTTAGCATTACTGGAATTTAAAACAAAGTAGAACGTGTTTGAATCCAGAAAATGTCGGTTCATTATTATTTTTGCATTATAATTACATATAATATCAATTTTATATTTATTTTTTCAAAGTATTTTACTTGTTCAAATAAATTGTCCATAATTTAAATTGAATAATTTTTTATGCTTAATATAGTAATTTTCATAATTATAAAACTTCTTGTAGAGGTGTAATGCTGAAATATTTTTATTAGATGCTTAAAAAATCGAAATAATGGCCATAAATAAATTTTATAATAGCGGGCTTGGGTTAAAATTTTTTTATAAATAATGGATGGGCGGATAAATTTTTTTAGATTAATGAGAGGGCGGGTAAGAAATTTAAACTAATAAGCGGGCGGGTATATTTTTTTTAAAAACTATGGGCGTGCTGGACGGGTTAAAATTTTTTAAAAATATTTGCAGACCTCTAGTTGGGACTAGTTTTTAATATAGGGAGAACATTAAGATACGTGGTTAAAAATTTGCAATCCGAAGATTCAATTGCAATAGAGAGGTTCTCAGGGATATGAATACTGCATTACTAAAAAAGCAATTAATCATAATTAATCCAAGTTATATTAAATATAATCTTCTCTTTTTTGAATTAATTTTCAGACAGATTTTTTAAAATATATCTTATAATCAATTAAAAACTTGAGATTAAATATTTGTTAATATAAAAATCTATTTTTATTGTATATTAGAAAAAAAAAATATATTTACTAGCTTTAGGAAAACTAACGATTATTGATAAGTAGTGATGTGCCCTACAAATTTGCGGTTATTTTTTTATTCTAAATTTACTCATAAATAATGTCAACGAAACCTAACATTATTTTTTAATTTTTAAGGTTTTCACTTTGGCCCATTGAAAAATATTCATTTTCATTTTATGAATTACAAATTCCCCTATCATATAATGTATGAACCAATTTTATTTTATTTTGATGAGGTGGTTCATAAATTTATCATTATTTAAAAAATGCTAATATAGTATGAGTACCTTCAGTATGAACAAATAATTGTGTAGAACAATAATAAGTTTGCAAAATCATCATCTTAACAATGTTTAACAAATAAATAGGTAAAAAACTCAAAAGGTCAAATATCTTATTCATCATCAAACGAAGGAAAAATATCTGGACGGGGCTTGTATATATTCATTTAAATAAAGAAATAATAATCAGGGGAAAAATAATTTGTTATAAAAATATGATTAAATTCTTCCGCTTTTTTTGAATAAATCTGGCACCCTGGAAGTGATCCCGTGATCCTGTTAATATATTAAATGAGTGAGTCGAATTGAATTGAACTAAAATTTGGTGTCATTGTTAAGCAAATGGCTATATGCCGACGGCTATCTTTCTTTTTTCTTATCTATTTAGAGATTGTTTTTCCTCCTTATCAATTCATGGCTCAAAGTAAGACAATTTTTTTTTAATTTAGGAGGATTATGTTATTTTGGATATCAACATTAGTTAAGCATCAATCAATACCGTGAAAATCGGTACATATCTGGTTAAAACGAATAAAAAACGGAACAAACTTAATATACGTCTTATGCATGTAAATAAACTAAAAGGCAAAAACAAATTTCGTTTAGCTACATTTTTTCTTGAAGTATGTGGTAGCTACATTTAAAAATAAATAAATTTTAAAAGTAGATATGACGATCCTTGAATATATTCATTAAAGATCAATAGGCCCGATCGTTATTTTTACCCTGGTTGAAAATATTTATTACAAGTTACCTATGACACAAATTTTTTTAGACTACCCTGCAATTATTTATTATTAAAGAAAAATCGTCAAGAAATATTTTGCACAAATTGCCCTGCCCAAAAAAACACATTTTGCACATGCCCGGTACGATTATTTTTAGCCCGACCTGATACATATAAGTTACAAATATTTACGGGTAATTTTATTTTACCAAATGAAGATTAACGAACATTCCACAAGAAAACGATCAATGATTTTTTAATACGACTAGAAATGAAAAATATGTTTTCAAATATTTTTTGACAAATATTTTAGATATTTTTTTTGTTTGTTTGTAAAAATATATATATTATAAAATAAATAAATAATTGAAAATAAAAAGGTTTTGTCCTAATTAAATTAAAAATATAATTTATCATAAATGTTTATCGGTAATGTTTCAGATTTCACATGATTTTGAAATAAGGAAAAAAAAATATATTCATTATAAAATTTTAATTGTTTAATTGTTTGGGGGTGTTTTGATCTCATCATTTTTTTTAAAGTCACCCTAAGGAGGCTTGCAAAAAAAACAGTTGTATTAACTATTTTTTTACAGCGGATCTTTATTAATTTTAGATCAAAGCCTAGATAATGGATCAGTCGTAAAATACAAAATGAAAAAATTTTCCACATAATATGTCATACATTCTCTTTTTGTATATAAAATTTAGACAAAAAAAAATAATCTATAAAAAATTTTGGCTAGATAAAAAAAAGTGAGTATGATTTGTGCCACGTTTTTTAAAAGAAAATCGTAGTAAAATGAAAAATAATATTATATTTTTAAATTTATGTCTAAATTATATTTAACTTGTATTGCATAAAAATAGGTTTAATGCTTATTATAATGTTGTATTTGTAAATTTGTTGCTAATTTTTTACAAAGTCGAAACGAATGCGCGAAAGAAACACGTATAAATATAACGCGTACTCCTATTTCTTTTTTTTAAACTATAATATAATATATTTTTTAAATGTATAAAAATGGAATGATTTAACTGTTTGCTTAAATTATGCTAAAAAAGTGGAATATAAAAAAAAATCAAAACAATAACTTTATAGTGACTAAAAAATATATTATCTATTCTTTTGTAATAAAAAGGCGAAAATAATTTAAGCTCTAGAGAAAAACGATGATTAAAATTATTTGTGTGGAATGATGTTATCATCTTTAATGATGTAATATTAATTGTTTAACCGGGATGGGTAGAGTATAGTATAAATAAATAAAATTAGTAAGTTCGACTAATATTGTATTATGAATGAGCAAATTGATAGTATTGTATAAGTAATCAAGCTAGGGTTAACAAAAATCAAAATGTATATATTTTTTTCTTTCTTTTTAATTTACTGTAACTAAGTGCCAAATAAAAGTGAAATAAACGTATATAATAAAAAAAACTTAAAAAAAATATAAAATTATATTATTTTTATATCACATCTATATTTTCAAATAAATTAAATTATTCACTAGATATTATTATAACATCGAAGATTAAAAAAAAATAAAGGAATAAAAAAAGTGAGGTATTAATTAATTGTTTTTAATTGATTTTTTTAATCAAAAAGTTGATGTTTTAAAGAATGTAAATTTCAGTCGCAACTTAAAAATCGAATAATTTATACAATCGTCTTAGGCTTTGATTTTGACAATATTTATATCGCCTTTGTTTTTTAAAAATATTTTACAACCTTATCCAATTAATGCCATCTTTTCTTTATCACTTAGCAAAAAAATTGAGCAAAAATTTTAAATCAATATTTAAAAAAATATTTTGTACAATTCGGTTTAATTACAAAAAAAGTGATATACAATTACATTATGAAAAAACAGTAAATATAAAATTAGTATGATATTACTTGTGCTATACTTCATATTTTAAATATATAAATTTTTTATTTTTACTCTATAAATAATTTACAACGAATATGTCAAACTTGGGAGGAGGTAATATTGCATATATTTAATTGTTAGCTATTGATTTCGAGATTTCTGTTGTAGCTAATATGTAGAAAATTCGATAAGTTTACTCTTATTTAATTGGATATTACATCGAACAAACGCAATAATCTTAATAGCCCATTTCCTTTCCAATCATTGTTATCGATTTATCTATTAATAAAAAAATATACTATATTTAAAAATCCTTCGAAGTAGTAATCATTGATATAAAAAAAAGAAACACTAAATGAAATGCCATCGCGATTAAGCCCGCATAAATATTTTATTTGAACAAGCGGAAATAATAGTTAGCGGTGCTACACTTACGTAATACATTAATCTAGCAAACTTCTAACATTCACCGTCAAATCATCAAGTGTCAAGGGGTAGTTAAAAAATCGGGATCGTGGCTTTCCTCGTGAGAGGAGGAAGGCGAGAGGAAAGATGCTACGGCGAGAACCTCTTTATTGTCCTCGTCTTCACCCTGGTCCTGATTATCATCTCTTCTATCACCAGAATTATCCACTCGTTGCCCTTCTTTATCTATACTTCCTTCGCCTCGTTCCCTCTTTTCTCTTTCACATTGACCAATACATGCCGACGGAAGAGTTGAAACATATGTAGGAGGTTGTTGCGATTGGACTTGCTGCTGCAACGAGGCCGGAGGCACAGGTGCCCTAAACATGTGGTGACTGGCTACTAGAAAAGGGTTCATAAATTGTAGGAACGGGTATGGCGATTGTTGCATATGAGAGCCTGTTGTCGAAGAACTATTTAATCCTATTGTGTTGGTATTTGAAAGATTTGTGCTAGAAGCATACGGTTGACCTTGAGCTTGTTGGTGTTTACAGGAATTAGGAGGAGGGGGGAAATGTTGCACGGCTCCGAAGGCATAGGCAGCGGCTGCCGCTGCTGCGGCCATAGCAGCTCCGGGAGGGGGGTTTATGCGCTTTTCCTTTTGCCTGCGGTTGCAGAACCACACTCTAACTACTTCCTTCTCCATACATAGATCATCGGCGATGGCAGTTATATCCTCAGAGGCGGGTTTGGGATTCAGCAGAAATGCTTTCTCAAGGGACACGCGTATAGATGTGTCTATGCTCGTTCGTTTTTTGCGTCTCTTTCCGGCGGCCCCTTAATGTAAAAATGGTAAATATAAATTGTATTTATGATGCGGGATTATAGTTATTTCAGGCGTGTACGCAAGAATTTGATATGGGGGGGGGGGGGGATAATTAAATTTTTTAAGATAAAATTATTGTTATTTAAAAATATCAAGCTTAAATTTATTAGGACTAATAACTATTTCTAATATACAATTTTAAAATGTGAATTATAAAAAATTAAATATATAAACCGGCATATAAAAAAATGTGAATTAAAAAAATACTGAACGGATATAACCGGCGGCATATAAAAAACTATAAAATAAATGACCCAAAATAAAAATTTAATTTTTTAAGCCTTTAAAATTTATATATAAAGTATAAAAAATTAAAATGTTGGAAATATAAATTAATACACAAGTTTCTTAAGAAATATTGTATTTTATATGTAATAACTTATAAAGTATTCATGAAAAAATAAATGTGCACAAATCTTATTAGAAGCCTATTATATATTATATTTATAATGTAAAATCCAATCTTCGTTAGAATTGAGCTAATTTTTCAATTTTCTCATCCGTGCTTGGCGTCAAATACCTATAAATATTCAAACCAAATCATTCAATCTACTTTTAGAAGTTGTCATTTTTAAGTATGTTTTTATTGTTATTAAAGAAGAGAATGTTCTCTCATTAGTTGCAGTACTAATAGGAAGAGTTGCTAATATATAATAATTTTAATAATTTGTGAAAATAATCTAAAAGATGTTTGAAATTATGCAAAGCATCCATAGCATTTTTGGGACTATATCAGCCATAATTAATCTTTTATACCATAGTTGGCATTCAGCTAATAAGGAATCATAAAATACTTAAACATCTTCATTAAAAAAATCTGCTAAATATTTTATTTTTTTTCTATTACCATCTGAAAAAGGTTGGGAAGGCTTTTGTAAAAGTAATATCTGCAGATTGCTAAGTGCTGCCTGATGAATTAAAAACCGTTCATTTATTTGGGTCATAAATGTATCTAAGAGAGGGATAAAGACATTTATTTTATAATACTCTTCTACTGACCCTATATTAATGTTATGACGATGAGCTTGCCTTGCTGCAAATCGAGGGATACAAATATTAAACTCGTATAGCTCTACTTTTGACTCAACAATAACATAAAAAAATTTTCATCAACATTACCCTAAATTCTTCGAGTTCTGATAAAATGTTCTCCGCTATTCTCATCGTCTTAATCAAGATGTCATGTTTTTAAAAAGTATCACATAAAATAGTTGTATAATTAAATAATTTATTAATACATTCTAATGAGAAAAAATTTATGCTTGCTTCTGAGGTATAATAACTCTTTCAGGCCATTGTGATATTTCAGTAAGAGCATTAATAATCGGCTCTTCTAACTCCATTAAAGCTGTTACTACTTGATGGCGAAGACTCCATGTCGTTGCACAAGCTTTTTGAATTTCTTTCTCCTTGTTGGACAAGGAGTTTCAGAAATAATTCTGTTTAAAAATATTTTGTAGTTTGGGGTATTCCATTAATGCAGAATCCCCTAATACTTTAAATTTTACAAGATACGAAAATTACCTTCATAATCATTATTATTGAAATTCAAGCTTCCTGAATCCAAATGGTCACGTAATGCTAGGCCCTGCAATCCACAATATAGAATGGCCTAAACAGTTAGTTTGATCTTATATCCACTTTATTTTGATATTTTAATTCATTTTTGTCAATATGCGATGAAATGGGAATCATATCCCCACTTTGAATTAATTTGAAGAAATCATCAGTTCACAGCTTTTGTGATAATTTGTTTTTTGAATGATTGTCAAAGATTTCTCCAGCATCTTTGTACTTGTTGAATGGAGTCTTAACAAATCAGTTAAGCTTAACTAAATTTTTCCCATAATATCTTGGGCCAAACAGGATACATATCTTGAGCTCCAGTGTCTCGAATAGAGTATGCTAGCCATAACCACCTAGTAAAATAGCTATTTTGAAATTTAAACTTTCGATTAGCACACAAAGTTTGTGGATATTGAAAATTGAGGGATGAAATATAAATCCATTATTAAATAAAATAGGTATCTAATACCTTTTTTTAGAAATATAGTCATTTTCATCATCATCAATATGTTTAAAAAAATTTATAATTATTATTTGAAAAATGATAGAAAAATATTACCCCACTCGAAATTTGAAAACAATAGATAAATATTAAGCCAAGGAAAACTTGAAATCGAAATTAATTGATAAAACAACTTAGTAAATGAATGTGATTAATTAAATATATATTTAAAAAGAAAGAGATAGGAATAAATATTATAAATATAAACAATAATATCCTGAGTTATTTGGTCTGAATTTGTTAAATTATTATTTCTAAATCATAATAGAAATTATTAAAATATTAAGTAAAAGAAAATTACACATGTCATAATATTTTTGATACAATCAATATATTTATAATAAAATATAATAGGATACCCAACAAAGAGCTCCCTGAAGTAAAAGATGTGGATGGACCAGTTTGATAAGCGGAGGTTGGTGACATATCAGTGGGAGACGATAATGAGGTAAGATGATGAAAAGAAGCTTGCGGATCTTGATAATGTTGCTGTTGTATTTGAGAAGAGGAAGAATGCGGGCTCTGCTGACTTATGTTACTCGGTTGAGCTGGGTGGGTATATAGTTGTTGTTGGGCTTGTTGCATAGCAGCGGGGAGGAAAGAGGAAGATGCAGAAATAGAGTCGGCATCTTCTAGCCATTTGGCCAGAAGCGGTTTAAGTTTGCACATATTTTTAAAGCTCAAATTTAAAGCTTCGAACCGGGATATCGTGGTTTGACTAAAATCATTACCGTATAACTTTCCCATAGCGAGTCCAACATCGCCTTGGGTATAACCTATATATAGAAAGGAAAAAATAAATTAACAAAATATCCTAGATATAAAATTTTATCAAATAATCATATCAAAGCCAATGCCATATTAGAATAATTCTTATTTCTTGATAAATAACATTATCAATATATATTTTAAAAATTTATATAAAAATATAATTGATAAATTATAAATATTTACCCAATTTAATTCGTCGTTGTTTAAACATTTTTGCAAAACGCTCTAACTCTTCCAAATCCATTGTATCTTCGTTTAATTCCTTCGCTTCCATAAGGGGATGAGTATATTTCTAATGTATTGAGAAAAATATTATTTTATTAATATCAGTGGCTTTTAACGTATGTGAATGGGAGGGGGGGGGGGGGGGGTGTAAAACATTAGCAACATTTTTAGGGGAGTAGGTTTAAAAATTATATATTCGCTTAGTACACAAGGAAGGGGGGGGGTATTGATAAAATATAATAATATAAATAAAAAATATTAAATCATATCATGTTTATTTGTTGATAATAATAAAATATTTACATTAAATATAAATAAAATAAATTATTTTACTAAAATAAATAAATAATAATTAATGCTAAGCATCGATGCAGAATTTTGACTAATTTATTTTAGCTAATTTTTAGGCTTAGCCCATTTTTAGGCTTAGCCAATTTTTAGGCTTAGCCGATTTTTAGGCTTAGCCTAATTAGGTTTAGCCGATTTTTAGGCTTAGCCTAATTAGGCTTAGCCGATTTATAGGCTATACCTAATTAGGCTTAGCCGATTTTTCCACCTAAAATCTCGGCTAAGCCGTTTTTAGTCGGCTAAAATTAGCCGATTATGCAACACTACTAGCCACAGAAATATATTTATGATTTGAATAAACTAAAGGTGATAAGCGACTATGTGATTCAGTACTTTAAAATTTTACAATAAACTCTAAAAAAAGATTTAAATACATCATATATTTTTTACACATTGGTTTGATGACAAAGAGCAATCAAAAAATAAGGGTTATAATTTTTGAGAAGAAGTTGGCATGAATACTTTAAAATTAATTACACTTAAAGTATAAATCTTATTATTTTTGCATAATGGCTAAGCATAGGAACACAGATAAAATTGAATATAAGGCTAGCACTTGAGAATTTTTTCTAATACATTCTAATTTTTTTGAATTGCCTATTATTAAGAGTACCATTAAATTTCCAATAAAATTATATGGCATAGGTTTCCCAAACATTACACATTTATATTTTCAAAGAAATAATGATTAATAATATATAACGATTCAAAAATCCATTATTTTAATAGCGGCCATTTTTTGAAGACGTTTTTGGGGATGTTATTGGATGTTTTGGCTATTTTGAACTTGGCGATTTAGTGGTTATACGTTATTTAAAATTTCCAAAATTTTAATAATATCTAAAAAAGTTATTGTTAATTAATATGTTTAATGTTAAAATAAAGCAGCGATATATAAATCATATACAAATTGCCGTGGCATAACCATGATGTATCCAAGGGAGGGGGGGGGGGGGTGTAGGAAATTGGGTTCCCCTTCGGTAGAAGAAAATAATTCATATTTGGGATTACGAGACAAACTTATCATGGAGACAGGTATCTACAATTTCTGAAATCATGATCTCATCGTGGAGTCCTGCTAAAGTGTCATAATCGAGATACTACAGAAAATGTAAGATCTCAAGTTTTATTTTGTCTGTATGTTTTGACAAATAATCTAGGGCCTAGTGGGTTACCCTTTAGTATGCCTTGTCTCAGTGGCGTCACTATGGGGGGCACAGGGATTCGAGTCCCCTGAAAAATTTGAATAGCCCCCTGAAGCAAAAAAATTATTTTAAGTGGAATCTTAACCCCTGCCCCTGAACGATTTCTTTTATAATTCTATTAAGTAATATATAGATTTAATTTTATTATTTAAAAATTAATAAGACTGTCTAAATTTTTATTAAATGAATATAATTTTAAATATTAGATTAGATTAATACACATAAATTATATTTTCACTATATCAGCTTGCAATCAAATGATGTGTTAAATAGAATATCAATATCACTCACTAAATATTAATTTAGCATTAACAGTTGAAGCTTAATTGACTATTATTATTTAAATTATTATATAACCCTAATTAAATAAATATAATCAATTATTAATTGAAAACTAATAAATTTAATATTGTAATTAGCCAAGTTCAAAATGACTAATCAACTGTATATTTATTCTTAAATTAAATTATCATACCTATTCCTAAAAATATTTTCAAGGTCCAAATAAGTATGATTTCTTTATAAAATATTGTAACAATTTGCATTCAAGTATTTAACGCCATCTATTTAGTTAAAAATATTTTAAATTAAACATTTTATTATTCATCCTACAATGGATGTAATAAATTAGCTATCTTTTCTTTTCTTACGTGTTTTTAGGAAAAATATTTTTTTCTTTTTCGAAAAACAGTTTTGAGTAAAAATTTTAATATAAATATATTTTTGATATTATTACAAACTACTATTATTTTAAGATACAATATACCAAATAGAGGCGGTGCGACAATATTATATACAATCTTAATTGTTTCATCATATCATTCTGGTCCTTATATAGGTATAAAATGTTTCATTTCTAATATGGCACCCTTGCCGTGTAAATAACTCAAGGCTTCATTATATTTGCATAATTATTTCTTCCAAATATTTTTAGTGTTTTTATTTTATCAATTTATTTAACATATTAAATTTTGATATTAGTTTACATCGTGAGTGTCATGGCTATTGTTATGTGTATCGTGTTAGCGTGGAGTCATTTTGTATAATAAGCATTTTATTTGTGATTTATATTTTTTGATGTTTTTTTTGCGCATTCATTAATTTAATTTTTATTTTGTGATTAATATTTTTTTGATTTTTTTTTGCGCATTCATTCTTGTAATATATTATAAAAAATGTTAAAGAAAAATCGATAATTGTATTTTTCTTGCAAATTATATTTTTTTTTTGTTTATATATTATTTGTTTTTCAAGTATATATAATCGAAGAAAAAGAAAAATAAATTATTCATTCATTTTTTTTTCGTTATCAATTTGCTTTTATTTGTGTTTTTGAGTTTATTTTTTTTCATGTTATTTTATTGCGTGTGCTGAGAAAAATAGTTTCTTGAAAAAAAGGAAAAGTAAAAGAAATCAAGTAAAAGAATAATAATAAATATATCAAGTAAGAGAAAAATTATAAATATATTTATATTTTCTATAATAAATAATTTTATATTTAAAATATTAAATTAGTTAATAGGAAATCGAACCCAGAAAATTAGAATAATAAATAATTGTATAGTTAAAGATTAAAGTAGACAACTTATAAAACATTGGTGGCCAATAACTCGTGACCTTCTGCGTGAACAAGCGAATAAGATTATATTTACCCATTTGTTGGGCGGTTATAGTAAGAGTCAATTAAGAGTGTATTTACCCATTTGTTGGGCGGTTATAGCAAGTAAGAGTCAAGTAAGAGTGTATTTAGCCATTAGTTGGGCGGTTATAGCAAGTAAGAGACAAGTAAGAGTGTATTTACCCATTTGTTGGGTGGTTATAGCAAGTAAGAGTGTGTTTACCCATTTGTGGGTGGTTATAGTCAGTAAAAGTTCAATTAAGATTGTAGTGACCCATTTGTTGGGGTTTAAGTAAAAGGACAAATTATACGGAAGTGCTGCCCAAATTTTGGCCAGTAAAAATTTGTTACACGGAAATACAAATTTTTGTGAAAATAAATCTATTAAAAATTCGCGCAAATTTTTACTAAATAAACCTAGTACACGGAAGTGCAAGCCAAATTTTTCCAAATATAAATCTGTTAGACAAATTTACCCAAAATTTTTGAAATTAAGACAGATACACGGAAGTGCTGCCCAAATTTTTGCAATTATAAAAGTGTTAGACGAATTTTACCAAAATTAGTAGGAAGTGCTGCCCAAATATTTTTAAACGTAAATCTCTTACAAGAAATTTACAATAATTTTGTCATCCATTGACCTATTAAGTGTGCATGTATATGTGCATCATTGGCTTATTTACGCTACTTATAATATCTTACTTGTTGACGTTACAAATAACCAAGATTTTTATTTTGAAATTAATCATAAATTTTTTATAACGCCGTGATGAAAAGTTTAAAATTTGTTAAATACTGGGAGGTTCAATATAATATTTTTGGAACGTTGGTTATACTATTAATATGGATATGTAGTTTAGTTTGGGACAGGAGAATGAGAAGGAGTCGCAGCATAAGAATTAAAGTACAAACTTTAACCATTGAGAGACATTATGGAGAGGAGGATATGATGCGTAAAGTTACTTGGTTACCGGTTCAGGAGTTAATTAAAGGGTGAACGGATAGCGATATAAACAATAATATATATAGCTCTGATAACAAAATTTTGGAAATAATCAAGTGTTGCCACTGTATAGAGAGCCCAGAGAAAATTCTCGGGGAAGTAGAGTGGAAATAAGACAAAATTTTGAATCTCGGAGAAGAGGGGTAATGAGTTGTTATAATTGTGGTAAACCAGGTCATACAGAGATTGCCGGGAGGCAAAGTGTTTCGGTTGTGGAAAATTAGGACATATAGCCCTTATTGTCCGAGTAAACAAGAGAGATTAAGATGTGCGGGTTGTGGTAGGTTTGGGCATAATAAAGAGGAATGTAATGCGAACAATTACAATAACAAAAGTGGTTTCCCACAGAGAGAGATGAGTCCGAATGCTTTAAATGTGAGGACTATTGAGCGGGAGAAAATGGAAGAGGGGCGGGCAGTTAATGTCAAAGAGTTAGAGGGGAAAAATATGGAATGTTTTCGATGCCTAATGGGTGGGCATGTGGCGAAGGATTGTGAGAATTTGTGACTATATGATAGTGGAAAAATTGCAGTACAGGTCGGAGCGAGATGCTTAGACAGGACGGAGGAGGGATTTAATCATCGAAAAATAAATAAAGAGGGAAGCGTAAATATGTTACAAGAGGGGATCGTAAATATGCTACAAGAGGGGATAGTACATGATCCTTGCTCTAGAGTAATGATAAATTGGGGGGGGGGGAGAATGTTTCCCATGTTATTTGATACAGTAGCTGCCATTTCGGTAATTGGATATAATGGATATCAAAGTATATGGCCTGGGGAAAGGATAGAGAATGAGGGGTTGAGAATAAGGCAGTTTGATGGAACTTTGTTGGCAGCCATAGGTGGGGTAGAGATAGTGGCGACATCGGAGGAAAGAGTGGAAATATTAGA